GGTTTACCTACGCACTGTTCTTGATTTGGCTAATTGTTCTGAACTGACTTAAAACAAAGCATATATGTTAGCACAGAGGGCAGGGGAATGACAATTGATAGACAGTGTGTTTTATGCTTGCATGCTGAAGAATCCTGCTGTTGTCCTTCCTTCAAATGTGAATGCAGTAAGAAAATGGGGAAGGATACACTTTTGAAGCAATAATAAGTAGAAATCCTTTGAGTTGGTCATTGGAATGGAAGCAAAGGACCAAAAGGTAAGAGGAAGGATGACTTTGACTCTTGAGGCTTCTTCTCTCGCAGCCATGGTTTATTTCATATGGCAAGAAAAAAGGGGAAGCGTTTTAAAAAAAGAGTAAGGTTACAATTCTGCATCTAGTTTCAGTTAGTCTCTTAGCTACATAGTTGAGTTACATTAATGCTTTGTCATTAATTTTCTGTAAACCTGGAAGTGCATGGGTGAAAGCCTTGTGTATAGCCCTATATGGGGAATTTTGGATTAATGGAGTAAACTTACCATTCCCTTAGAAAAGTGTTTTAGGACTCATCCACTGGTCCAGTTAAATAACCAAACAAGAAAGGAAGTCATAGAATACACAAATCAAAACCAACTTGAAAAAGAGTGATGATGTGAATATTGTGCTAAGCACACAGAAAGAAATCTACTGTGCAGATCATGCTAGAGGACAAGTTCAAATGCAAAATATTAGTTTAAATATAAAACAACATTCAAGAATGCAAAAGCTGCAATTGGCAATTAGGTCTTTAAATTTGAAGAAACTATGAGGTCCATGAAAAGTGAACAAGTTAAGTTGAACAGATAAGAGGAAGAAACTCAAATGGATAATTAGTGAAAACAAGGAGTACCAAATCATTGAACTAGACAAGTGAGGAAGCTGTTTGTTCATTGACCTCTTTACACCAAATGTCATAAATCTGACACTCAATCCCCTTAGCAGCCCTCCATCCCTGGATTGCTATCAAAATTATTCAAATTAAGTGATTGAAATCAAAACCATGTCATAAAGTAGTCAGTGGTACTGGAAACCCTATTGTTTGCCCATCTATGATATACCACCACTAACTTTGAAACTATCCATTTTCTTCCAAAAGTATCAATTCCCTAAACACCAAAAAATTGAAGGCAAAGCAAGAATCCAAAAACCAATAACCAAGTTTGACAAAATCCTTATCTCTACAAACATAAATCAAAGAACCTAAGGGTAGTAGCGAAGAGAGCAAAGGTTGAGACTTGAAACAGAGGAGAGAGGGCTCTATAATTTTTCTTCAAACAAAGTAATTACATTTTCCATACATAATTAAACAACACCCAATTTTCAAGAAATAAAACCCATAAATAAAAATATGAAAAGAAAATTCCTTACCATCAATTGCCAGAAAGACGGGTCTGTGGCGGTCAATGAGCTGCACTTGCGCTATTAGATTTTTTTTTTTCTTTTTTTTGGGGGTAATGAGATACATATCTTTAGCTTTAGGATATATGCTTCTTTCAGATTTCACTCCCCAACAACCACAGATCCAATCTAATATCTTAACATTCACCTTCCATGCCATTTCCATCCAGAAGCTTCAAGACAAAACAGAGCATGTACAAGAGAAAGAGGGGCTTGGCTTTGGTAGATTTTTCTTCTTTTCTCTCCTCTCCATAAAAAGGTTTTCATTGATAGAAACATCAAAGTTCGAGTTGTGTTCACAGTGTTCAAGCTTTGTCTGTCCACAAATGAAAAATGATAATGTTCAAAGCTAAGTATAATGGGAAGGTCCAACCAAATCCCCCACTAAAAAGACTCCAAAGGAATAGCAGCAGCCCTTGGTGACAAGCCAACACACAATGCACCCAGCCTTTTATTATCCTTAAAGAAACAATTCCAAATGCTACCTTCCACCTCTCTTTGGATTTTGCTCCTGACTTTTACCCCTTCACATGGCCACATATCTCTGCCTTGTTAGACTTTGCAGCTCAGCTGCCTTTGTCTATTCCAACTTTTAGTCATACAGAATCAAATAGCCGGAATGAATGAATTAAAATAATCACCTCAAGTCCTAGCTATGTCCTACATATATGAGCATATGCATGTGAGCTCTTCTTAAAGTGCACTTGCATCAATCCCATAGAGGTTCCTCGTCATCTTCCAATGAGTGGAGATAGATTGATCCAATGATCATTCATCCGCTCATTGCTCTTCTGCAAGAATGGTTCAGATAGTTGGGGAGAGCCAAGGAGATGAGGCAGGAGAAAGAGACGGATGTTGCCTGAATCAAGGCAGATCAATGCAGCTATGCCTTATGTGCCATCCAGATTGCTTTTCCACCCTGAACTCATGCTTCAGTCAGAGCTGCCTCTTCAGTGTACACTCAAAAGAGAAGCCAATATGCAGAGCAGGAATACCCAGGTTCAGGCCATTCAGACTCCAATATTGGAGAATTTATGGTCCAGAGACACTGTCATATGCACAACTGACTATGATGATATCTCATATGTTGATACATCACTTCATCTGTGAAAAAGTTTTACAATGTTAGTCTATCTAGTAATCCTATGGTTTCCTTCCATTTCTTCTCCATGGGGCAGTAAGAATAAGGGAAAGGAAAAGTAGGAGCTAAAGAAAAAGAAAACAGAGTAAGCAATGTAGCTAATGGCCATTATCTTATGTATCTTCAGCAACTACATAGCAATCAGAAAGGCAATTCCCTTGTCTCTTTCGAAATGCGTTCTCATCATAGCTAATGTTATCCAATTTGTCATTGTTCCCTTTCCTCTTCATGATTTTGGGAATCAATCGAGTTACTTCGTTGGCCTCTGACATAGCTTCCCCATTGTCTGTCCACTCAAAACGAACAGCACTAACCTTTTGGGCATTTGCAGCTAATATCTGCGCCAGGGACAACATTTAACTCACATTAATCAGTAATTCAATTGGATGCTCAAGATTTAGTCTTATTAGCCTATACAGTTATCACATGGATAACTTATTTTCCAGAGAAAATGTTTAAACTTGAGTGTTATACAAAAACGGAGCATATGAATTATTATTATGAGTTGCTAAGTTTCATTTAGCAAACTGAACCACCAAATGAAGCATCTCAGAGGATGAGCAATATAAAAGCAGATTCCTATATGAACAAATGCATGCCCTCATAATAGCATTGATTTCAGAAAGTTACAAGTGTAAGAGACCGCATGATTGCTAGCAACATGCATTGTCTTTCCTAGTTTTTTTACTGAAATCCATTCAGTGCTTTTACCCTACCTCAAGTCTATATATCTGATGCCATTCCTTCACATCTTGATGATCTGATCCATCTTCATCATGCTTATCATCATCATCTTGATTAACCCTTTTGAGGGCAACTTTGATGCTCTCACCAGCCCTAGGGATGTACCCAAATACTTCACATACAAAACCAGATACTGCCTCACACTGATGTTCCTGTAAACAGCATGGTGAACAAAGAAACAATGAATAGAAATATGAAATTTAAAAGTTAAGGAACATTTTGATAGTTATTTACAATGTGAGATTAACTGTGCCTTTATTTCAAAATGAATTGGAAACCACATTACACTTTTAACTATTTACTTTATCCTCTCTCCTTTTTCTTTTTCATTTTTTTTTCAAGCAATGGTCACTTAATCATAAAGCATCATAATCCCACAACAGTCACAATAAACAGAATTTCATCCACAACTGAGATCAGAAATATCAAGTTCATAAGCCTTGCTATTTTTAAGATTCCTATGATCAACTACTATGTGGCAGTGAATGAAATTTTAATGAGCCTGTGGAAATGGCAGGAGAAGTGTACAATACAGAAATAATCAAAGGTAGAAATGATCCTAATAACTGATTTTCTAGCTTTAAAGTTCAAATACTCCATTCGGTGCTCTATACACCATAACAATGAAAACTAGGAAGAGGGTGGAATAATATTACTCTGGCATTTTGATATTCAAGTCCTCAGATAGCAAACAAATACTAAATAGAGGTATTGGCATCACCATAACAATGAAAACTAGGAAGAGGGTGGAATAATAAGCCTCTGGCATTTTGATATTCAAGTCCTTAGATAGCAAATAAATACTAAATAGAGGTATTGGCATCAACATCATATACTCCCCTCTGCTCTCATTGCAATATAGCCAGTTTTCTTCTGGATCTCCTCTTGTTAATACTTAATACAATTAGCAACAAATGCATAAAATAAGAATAACTTGAGAATCATTACATATATATGTGTAAATGTATCACTTAAGAATCAAGTAGAGCTGAACCTTGTAACACTAATTGATATGAGACCTATAGAGTAAAGAAATATCTACATGACATGAGAAGTGACATGAAATTCTTTGGTGACATGGAAAATACTGACAAAGTACATGCCAAACTAAATGAGACCAGAAACTGACAAAATAAAGCTGCATCTAGATCAATTGGTCTGTAGAAATTTAGCAGCACATGTATAACAACAATTTGTTTAGGACTTCATCAACAAATTTTTTTAGCATCCCCTTGCTGAGGAATAATAGAATGCAATATCTAAAGCTATCTATATGGTTAAAAGACTTGTCCCCAATAACAGAACATTAAGGTCATTAATTATGTAATTAGGCCTACCTTCGATCATTTTCATCAAAGACTTCTCCAACAATCTCCTCAACCACATCTTCTAAGGTTACTATCTGCTCCATCAAAAAATAAATATGCAAATATATAAAATCAATCTGTCAATAAAATGAGTGCAAACACTGTAAAATAAGCAATCCAAAAGGGAAAGAAAACATAGTATTGAAACCTAAAACACCAACTCTCTGACTCAAAGGCCCTACGGTCTCAAAAGATCCAGCTCATTGATTATTACCACCTTCCCATTATCATAGAGGTGGAGGGAAAAACACCACATGATAAACAACCAGCCCACCCACCTTTTGATTATTCTGCAGTCTATTAGAGTTACCCAACATGATTTCTTATTTGTTCTTATCTAATTG